ACCAGCAGGGGACACAGGGATAGGCCACAGGCCAGGTGACCTGCTGCAGCCAAGAAGAGACCAGGAAGGAGGTATAAATATGCCATGTGGTCAACTCCATTTTGGTCTCCAGATCTGCTCCTGACCCCAGATGCGGCCTCGCAGGGATTCACGAGCCGGGAAGAACTGTGGACCCATCCTGGTATAGGATGAGCACCAACGACTTTTAAGCCAGCAGCTATAACATCTCTGCTACAAGTCTGCATCGAGAACTGGGAGATTCGATGCATGTAATGTATGATACTTTAACAACCTTACTCGCATGCTTTTCTTTCTTGTAGTAATAAAACTTTAGACTGTAGATTCTAAAGGACTGACTCAGCGTGATTTGTGGGTAAGATCCAGAGTGTAAATTGACCTGAGATCTGTGGCTGGTTTCTTGGAACCAGACAGGACTTGTTCGGGGATGGTGAGATTGGGCTCCAAGACCCCTCACCTGTGTATGAAGCCCGGGGCCATCTGGGGCATGGATATTGTTGGGGTGTCGGAGGGGTTTTGCTCGTGAGGCTTCAGACAAGCAGCTGAAGCACTTTGTGGGACTGGTTTGTGGCCTATTAGGAAAGGTCTCCAGCCTGGGGGCTGTAAGGAGCCCCACATTTGAGCAATTCGCCCTAAGCGGACGCCCTCAGCAGTGCCCAGACCCGGCCCGGTCCGTGACACTGCCTCTCTGCCTTTGAAATGTACAAGAACCACTGCAGCACTTTTATATTTCAAAGGGATAGATGCAGTGGTTCCCTCTGCCTCTCTCCCTCTGAAATGTACAGGAGCTGCCTGCTGCTCTTCTATATTTCAAAGGCAGAGAGCCCGCATTAAATTGATTAAAACTGACTAAATGATAAGTCTCAATATGTAACTGTATAGGGAATTGGTATCATAGACCTGAAAGAGATCTCACGGTCTGCTGTTTTTCTTTGTGAGTTTAATCCTGGAGCTGTGGAAGGGGATGAGGGGGGGGATGAATTGAACTGGGCAGGGACATCATGCCTAAAAAAAAGAATACCTGGGCCTAGAATTGGACTGGACCTTGGAAGTGTGGATACTTGAGTAGATAGAGAATGTTTATTTAGATGCGATCAGGTTATTTTTTTGTTTTGTTGTTTGGTTAAACTCCTCTGTGCTAAATCCATATCCCCTCCTCTCCCCACTATAACTTTAAACTGAATCCCAGGGATGCAATTGTCTGTGTTTTAATCTGTTCTTTTCTCAGTTGCGCTATAACTCCTAGCAGCCAAGTCAGCTTTACAAATGAATACCTTTTTGTTTTCTTAATATAATCACCTATTTTAAGGCTATGATCTGATTTTGTATCCTGGAAAGTAATAGGAGGTCTGTGTATACCTGCCTAAGACTAAGAGGACAGCTATCAGAAATTACAGTTTGTTTTCATTTTTCTTTTTTTCTTTCCAAGTGCTAAATAAAGGGGAATAATCACATCTCTGGATCTGCTGGCAGTGCTCCTCCTAATGCCCCCTAATATGCCATTAGCCTTCTTGGCTACAAGGGCACACTGTTGACTCATATCCAGCTTCTCATCCACTGTAACCCCCAGGTCCTTTTCTGCAGAACTACTACTTCGCTGGTTGGTCCCCAGCGTGCAACAATGCTTGGGATTCTTCCGTCCTAAGTGCAGGACTCTCCACTTGTCCTTGTTGAACAGATTTCTTGTGGCCCAATCCTCTAATTTGTCTATGTCACTCTGGACCCTATCCCTGCCCTCCAGCATATCTACTTCTGACTAGTTACATTTCTAGTATAGTCACACAGGAATCAGTTCTTGGCTGTATGCAATGTAATATTTTTAACACTGACCTAGAAGAAAACAAATCATCCCTAATAAAGTTGGCACATGGCACAGAAATTCGGGGAGTGGTAAATAATGAAGAGGATAGGTTGCTGATACAGAACAGTTTGGATCACTTATTGATAGACTTGGCACAAACAGTATGGATACGTCTCCACAGCAGCGTTATTCCAAAACAACAAAGAGCATGTCTACACTACAAGCCTTTATTTTGAAATAATGTCAAGCTGGAGGACTTATTATTTCACAAGGAGTAAGGGAAGTTGAAGGAATAGTGTTCTTCCTTCGACTTCCTGCTGTGCCTAAAGCTAAGTTAAGCGATTTTGACTTACGTTATACAATTGATATAGCTGAAGTTGTGTAGCTTAATTTGACTTAGCCATGCTGTGTAGAAGTACCCTATGTGTCTTAATATGGATAAATATAAATTTGTGCACCTAGGAACAAAGAATGTAGGCCATACTTATAAGATGGAGGACTGTATCCTGGGAAGCAATGATTCTGAGAAAGATTTGGTGGTTGTGGCGGATTATTAAGTGAACATGAGCTACCAGTAGTCAAAAGGATTAATGTGAAACTTGGAAGCATAAACAAGGAAATCTCACATAGGCATAGAGCAGGAGTGGGAAATAATTTTCACAGAGGGGCCACTTAATAAAGTTTGGTATGTAGTCACGGGCCAGCTCCATCCTCCGGAAGGGGCAAAGCCTGAGGTGGAAGGGTAGGGGCTGGGGACTAGCCTCCCCACACAGTTGTCTGGAGCTGGAGGCTTTGAATTAAAGACACAGCAAAGGGCTCCTGGCGCTGGTGCTACTGAGTTGCCTGGCAGCCTCCCGGGGTTATTGCAGCTATTTAAAAGGTTCGCAGGTCCAGGCCCTGCTAGGGTAGCATCACAACTGGGAGCCATGAGCCATGTAAATAGGATCCTGCTGTCTGAGCCACTGCCTGGAATTTCAGTGGCATGGGCAGCAGGATATAAATAAAAACCAGGCAGATGCCATTCATGAGCCAGATCTGGCCCCCAGGCCACATCTTGCCCATCCCTGGCATAGAAAGATTATTTTACTTCTGTATTTAGCACTAGTACAACTGCTACTATAATACTGGGTCCAGTTCTGGTGACCATTATTCAAGAAGGATGTTGATAAACTTGGAGAGGGTTCAGAAAAAAAGCCCTGAAAATGATTAAAGAATTAGAAAATGTGCTCAACAGTGATAGACTTAAGGAGCTCAATCTTGTTAGTTCAACAAAAAGATGACAATTACAATCTGTAAATGCCTACACTGGGAAGAAATATTTACTAATCAGCTCTCCAATCTGGCAGAAAAATGTGTAATAAGATGTAATGGCTAGAAAGTGATGCTAGACAAAATAAGAGTGAACATAAAACACTTTTATCACTAATTATCCAGTGGGACAACTTACCAACTATCTTGTTGGCTTCTCCATCATTGACAATTGCAAATCAAGTATGGGTGCTTTTTTCTAAAACAGTGGTCCCCAACGCAGTGCCCGCGGGCGCCATGGCACCCACCAGGTCATTTATGTGTGCCCGCGGAACAAACTGGGATGCCCCCGCCCCGGACACATAGCACATGCTGGTGCCAGCCCTGGGCGCCAGGTGCATGGGCTATCCCTGCTTTGGGTTGCGGCACATGCCGGTGCAAGCCCCGGGTGCATGGGTGGCCCCTGCCTGGGGTCATGCATGGCACATGCTGATGCCTGTCCTGGGCGTGCGGAGTATGCGTGGCCCTGCCCCCGGGCACATGGACAGTGAGCAGCCCTGCTCCCGGATACACAGCACATGAATGGCTCTGCCCCCGGGCGCCCAGCAGCCCCAAAAGGTTGGGGATCACTGTTCTATGGGCCATGTTATTATATGGGTGCTCAGACTAGGTGGTCCCAGTGGCCCCTTCTGGCCTTGCAGCCTATATGAACCCCTGCGTCTCCCAAGGCTGTTAATTTGTAGATTGTCATTTTACACCCCCCCCCACAGTCATGTGACAGTGAGTCCTGTTGCTCTTGATTGTGCTGCTCACTTCCGTGCTCCGCTGTCGAGCCCCCACAATGACCCCCCCGGCCCTTCTGTGAGCCCCACCTGGGCCAGGCAGGGCGACTGATCAACCCAGGCCTGACAGGCAGCCGGGGTCAGAGGTCACAGCGCCGTGCCCAGCAGAGCCACGCTGGAGTCAACGTCACGCCTCCTTTTGCGCACCGCCCTGAGGGACTCAGAGCTCACCGGCCCTCCGAACCTCGGGACGGCGCCGAGCGCTGCAAACCACTGCTCATGCGCAAGCGGCGTCGGGTCCGAGAGGCCGCGCTAGGCCCAGGTTCCGTCTCCATGGTATTTCCGGAAAGCTGGTCCCATGATGACGCTCTAGGCAGCGGGCGTCTTTTCTATGGTAGATGGCCGAGGGGTTGGGGCCGCTCTAGGCGAGCGTTGCGGCCTTTGTGGTCCGTGCTGTCAGGAGCCGAGCTGCGGCCTGGCTG